AATTGTTAGTTGGGCGTAAGGTGGCGTAACTGCAATTCTGAATCTATGAAAGTGATGTTTCTGTGAATTTCGTTATATTACCTTAACAAAAAACACCTCATATTTGAACTTTTAAGTTTGATAATTTTTCCTGTAGCCCCAAAAATAAAGTGGTAGGGGGGTATTGAAAGGTTTCCGTGGAAAACACCCTGTATCTGTATCTGTACACCCAAGGATACGTGTGTGAGTGTTTATCGGTGAATGCTACATTTACATGCTATTTATCTGTTAGATGGTAATTACCCTGAAACCGATATCAAGCTTGATTGCCGTTCAAGTTTCGACAGGGCAATTTCGGGCAAACCAGCCGATTTCAGACATAACAGAAACACTCAGACCTTATTTAATGCGTCATTAACTCTGTCTTATGGTCGATATGGAGTTTTCCTGGAAAAAAGAACGTTTCAACGTTAACGTTCGCTCATATGTTTTTGCTGACAGCGCAGGCGTGAGATATATGCATTTTTCAAATAACAAGTTGAATTCAAGCCGGAGGCGTATCTTTATATAGGGTGATTTTTTTGCTAGATTCTTTTTGGCAACACTGTTTTTGACAGATGACGCGTGAATCTTGTCTTGTGTCATTGAGAAACTTGTTTCGTTTGGTCTATAATTTAACCATGAATCGACTTACGAACGAACAACGCTTGCAAATTATTGAATTTTACTATCAAAATTCATGCTCGGTTAAGAGAGTGCATCGAGCACTGCTTCCAATTTATGGGCAATTTGGACGGCCTACTGAGGGAGCTATTCGGAAGCTTGTGACTAAATTTCGAACCCAGTTTACATTATTGGACATTAAATCACCAACACGCAGACGTAGAGTGAGGACTGAAGAAAATATTGCGGCTGTATCCGCCATAAGTGTTAGTGATGACCGTGAAATGTCGATTCGCCGCCGTTCGCAGCAATTGGGCATCTGTTACTCCACTACGTGGAAAATTTTGCGACAGGATTTGGGTGTAAAACCTGATAAGGTATAGCTGGTGCAAGAATTGAAGCCACACGACCTCCCACAACGTTTCCAATTTGGTGAATGGGTGCTGGCAAAGTTGGAGGAATATCCACATTTTTATCGAAAAATTGTCTTCAGCGACGAAGCTCATTTCTGGTTGAATGGGTACGTTAACAAGCAAAATTGCCGCATCTGGAGTGAAGACCAGCCAGAAGCATTGCAAGAGCTACCAATGCATCCCGAAAAAATCACTGGTTGGTGTGGATTACGGGCCGGTGGCATCATCGGGCCGTACTTCTTCAAAGAGGACAATGGCCGGAACGTAACTGTGAATGGCGAGCGCTACCGTGCGATGATAACAAACTTTTTTTGCCCAAAATGGAAGAGCTGGACTTGGCTGACATGTGATTTCAACAAGACGGTGCCACATGCCACACCGCACACGAAACAATGGCCCTATTGAGAGGCGAGTTCGGTGAACAGTTTATCTCACGTTTGGGGCCCGTCAATTGGCCGCCTAGATCGTGTGATTTAACGCCGTTGGACTATTTCTTGTGGGGCCATGTTAAGGCTAATGTCTACAGGAATAAACCAGCAACGATTGACGCACTGGAAGCCAATATTGAAGCATTTCTTCGTGAGATACCGGCCGATATGTTGGAGAGAGTGTGCCAAAATTGGACCTTGCGCATGGGCCATCTAAAGCGGAGCCGCGGCCAACATTTACATGAAATAATCTTCAAACATTAAATTATATCGACCGTTCTATCGACCCAAATAAAGATTTAATTGTTTTTTCAATTTTTTTGTGTTTTTTTTGAAAATCAAATCCTATGCCTCTTAAAAAATCACCCGTTACATGTTTTCGTTATCTCAAGTCGTTACATTCAAAAAATTTGAGATATTTGACAAAAGCTACAGAGGTAGTAGAAACACTAATATTGTTAGAAAACCACAGGATAGATTTCAAGGTTTACATTGCAAAAGGATGACCTTCGGTAAATATTTGAAGAGTTTATCTAACTAGAGTCAGAGCTAAGGACCAGAGTTTGGAGAATAGACATCGTTGATCAAAAAAGGAACAAATAGATTTAGTACGGCCTTACTTGGTCAAATCAAAACATCAAAGTGGCACAAAACGAAACGTCTTTTCCAATACATTTCTGTAAGAAAAGTTAAACACAAAAATGTTGAAATTAATTTATCTGACTACTGACAGTAAGTTAATATGAATTTATTGCACGCTAATATGACCAGTCTGAAACGCAATTATGTAAAACAGGAAACCGAATGTACGAGTTAATCATTCGTTCCGGACAAGAGTGACATGAATTAAACAATTCAGGCGCATTCCAGTCAGCAATAAAATATACAAACACGTGCAAATTTACAATAGCAAACAACGGAATCGTTTCAACAACATAACCTCATAATTGTAGTGAACATAACGAAGAATTCGACACATTATTATTTTTCGGTCAAAGTCCTAGCCGGTATTTTTGTTCTCCAAAGCAACACGTCGAAAGCAGTTGACACGTCGGATCTAAATAATTTATTACAGACACCTTTCGCAAGAATAAACACAAGACAATGTGTTGTCATGAATATACTCTGTGTGTTCTTAGATCTAGCAAAACATTCGACACGGTAGAGCACTTGCATCTATTAGAAACCTTACATGGAACCTTATGAAAAGTTACCTTTCCAACAGAAAAAAGTGCGTCCAAATATATAATTCCTGTTAGCTCATGGTATCCCACAAGGGACAGTTTTAGGCCTCTTATTATTTACAATTTATATTAAGAGCCTGCTTAGTTTAAAATCTGAAAGGAACAATTATAAGCTTTGCAGACGACACGGCTATTATCTATTCGGATAACGACTCGTGGGACGATGTTAAGGAAAAGGCTGAAAGAGACGACTTAATAGTCATCGTAGACTGGTTCAGACTTGAATGCTTAGCTATTAAATTCCAAAAAACTATGTTCATGCCATTCACGACTTTTAAAAACAAATTGCCAACATTAGTTTCTATACAGATTAATTGTGATAATGCAACTACTCAAATGAATTTAAAAAACAAATTAAAATATCTAGGTGTACATTTAGACCCCAATTTAAAGTGGAATATCTCGTACATATCGATCATGTAATAATAAATCTTCGACCATAATCGTCTAAGTATCTTAACAAATATTTGGACCAAAAAACAAAAGATCATGCTGTGATCGAAACTCGTTTGTGTTATGCAATATTAGGTTAAGGTGACAAACCAATCCTATACGTATCTGATCTGTTGTATTCTGAAGCAAAACTGTTAGTCCCGAGGCAACTTTTCTTATAGAATCATAACTTATCAGATACACTATAGAAAATATCTTATCCCATTAGATCACTTAGATCCAACGAGAAAAAGAATCCGTCAGTGTGGGCGATGCTTGAAACCGTCTATTAGGAAAGTATCGTGGATCCGTCGGACAGCCTCCATTGAACATTGTCAAGCATGGACAGTGTAGCCGAGGCAGCAGCTCACCAAACATGTGTCACTGTTCCACACCACACCTTATCTGAGCTTTGTTCAGGGTGATAAAAAATGCTTCTCTCTAAATTTCGCGTGGATGTCATTCTATTTGCAAAATAATTTAGTCAATGTAAAATTGAAAATACAGCGTACAGGTACATTTACTGCCAATATATTTTTCCAGATGCCACCGTTATTGCTGCTGTGTGCTTGCGTTTTATTATTCATATGGGGGAGTGAATTAAATTAATTTTCATTGTGCTATGGTTGATGGTGTTTAATTGAATATTGACCGTAATCAGCGAAAAAGTTACGTAAGGATCATTTCAAACATATAATAACGAAAGGCGTGCTATATTACATATTACCATTTCATAGAGTAAAATGGAGAAACAATGAATACAAACACCAAGCTAACATTAGACATATAAAATGCAAAACGGGATGAATGCAAAACTAACATATGATCTTTGCCCATTATAACGAACTATAGATTAGTATCATACTAGGATCGTATTTAGCATGGCATTCAGCAGCGAGTTACGAAAGCACAACGCCGAAATACATTTTTGCATAAAAAAGTTTTCGAAAAGTACAAAAAGTGAAGTACTTCTGAATGAGGAATAGCTAAGACAATGCAAAATTAAAGATTATTTATAGTATCGGTAAAAAGTGTGAACTATGTCTGATATGATTTATCAAATATGCAGATCTGGTATCTTGGGTAAAGAGATGCTTAAATCATGGGAACATAATGTCAGATGTTTCGTCGAGATTGACGGAATGCGTCAAATTACCATTTTCCCACACTAAAGAGGATATGGAAATACTTCAGTCTTTTCGATGCCTACGAGTATATTCGGAAACTGTGTCCCAAATAATCAGAATGTGCCAAGTTTTCTTCGCTACATGTTACGAAAATGGAAATTCCCCGATATTTTAGCATTTTTCGATGGTTACACGCTACATGTTTGATGATATTGTTGTTCTATGCGATTCAAATCACTAACTCAATTGAGGAGCTTTGGAGCAAAACCGAATAAGTTCTCCATAAACAATTTCTAGGAAAAGACGATTTTTCTACAGCGCAAAAAGTAATAGCATTTTTAGTTGTTTTGCTACCAAATACTATTGGGGCCAACATAATTGAGCTTCCTCTGCAACCAAAATTATGAAATATTATGATTGTTAATATTACGATAAAAACAAAAATGGATTTATTTGGTTTTGCTCAAATCTTATGGATTTATTTCGTTTTGCTAGAAACTTTATTGACAGACATTAATGACAATAATGTTTTTATTGTTTAAAAGCTTTGAATCGCTAGCAAAGCATAAAAATAGACAAAAAAAAAATATATATATATATATAACTTAAAATAAGTATATTCCTAAAAAATGATTCACATAAAAAATAAGCTATAAAAAATATTAAATTAATAATAGTTTATTTATTAAAGTGCAAGCTACATTGTAGTGACGCTTAAATATGTAACGCAGATTCCTCCGCCAAACAGTCGCACACATTATTTATATCTTCTTCATCATTATTTTGTCCTCGATTTGCACCTAAAAGCTTATATATATATATATATATATATTATATATATATATATATATATATACACATATATATATTACCATTCCAATTTTTTTTCAGTTTCTCACTCTTTTCCGAATTGTTGTTCCATAAGTTATTTCACACTTTGTATCTATTTTGTGGAATGTTATCTCGCAACTGAACTTCTGACAGCGAAAAGTGCCCTAAGGTTTTCCCTCTTTTATAGACAGGTTTACAAACTTCTGATTGAGCTTCAAATCGGTAGTGCTGAAAGCATGCGATTGATATTTTGACTTCCCCTGTTTTTTGCACTTTTTTTGTATAGAGATGCGTTTTAAGTCAGATATTCCAGTAATCTTATTAAGGTAATTTTGAAGTTTCTTTATATCAAAAATTTTCCAATCTTTTCCTAACACTTTTACATTTCTAGCTTGTGAATAATTGACATAATCTTCTTTAGACAAAATGGTTGGAGTTTTTCTCAACATTTTCTCAACACGTCCAAAGACCCTATCCGCGGGAATAAAACTATGACCTCTCACAGGGTAAGTGATGATAACTCCGGTAACATTATCGAGAGAAAACCTGAGGAGCCAAAAAATTAAAATATGGTTAATGTGGGAGTTTTTATTCTGCCCCCCACATCCATCACAGAACAATCTAATCTGAGCTATGTCAGTTCAGTCTAATGTCTTTAGGTAGTCAAACAAAGCTGACCCAATCTCTGTGGTGCCTCTCGCAACCTGGTCTTCTGTCCAAATATAAAAAGTAGGATTTCTTGAGCTCATGTCAATACAGCAGAAAGAGTAAGACTTATTTGTTGCGCATAAAAAGCATCGGAAATAGGAGTGCGTGGTAAAGGCTGTACCTGTTGCAGGTCGAAACAGAACGTCAAGTAGTTTTCTGGCTTTTCTTTGGAAAGCTCGTAAAAAGCCTTGGCTCTTTTTATATGAACTCAGTAGTCTGTCATATAAGGAACTTTTTTTGCCTGCTCTTTTTCTGATTTAACCAGATGTTTGAGACGCGTGCATTGGGAACAGGTATCTGAAGCCGGAGACGAAAATCCAATGTTAAATTATGTAAGAAAAACTTTTCTAAACATTGAATATTTTACTTGGTACTGATTTTCAACTTGTTCGTTATAAATTTTTTGTAATTCGCTAATACTTAAATGAGCCGGTAAATAAATTCTTCTCGACTTTTTACGATCATAACGACTCTCGATACATCTTAATTTGCCTATGAATTCGTACACCTTTTCCCGCTCTTACAAACTTTTTCGTGAAACATGATCTCCCCCTCGGTTTTCTTTGGGACACTGCCCCAAATCAATCATTTTGCACAAAGTAAACAACCTGTAATTTTTAACGCCCACTACTGCCATAAAAAAAACTACAAACTTGAACTGCTTTTGTTGATCTATTTCCATCAACTTTTTAAAAAAAATGCTGCCCTTGTTCGCTGTCGTGGATTGTTCTTCACAGGTCTCTTCCTTGCAGTAGTAGAAACGCTGATCATGTGGCAAAGCTTCATATCTTGCATGGTTTTGTCCGGAACGTCATACAATTTACTTCTTATAGCCCTAATGTTAGATATCTTGACTTTTTGGCACTGGAAAGTTTTATTATCATGTGAACCCGGTCGCTTAAATTTTGTTAAATCCGGATCTGGATCATGGTATCTATAACAAAAAGCGTCATACAGTACAGTTTGCCGAATAAGCTACCTTCACCTAGTCTAAAATTCGTACAATGTAACTTAAATAAATGAAATTACCTTCCACGTTTCCTTATTTGCTTTTTATTAGCTCTTTTTCTTATTCTGCTCCCATCATTGATATCACTCACCGCTGATGCATCTACTAGAACTTCTTCCATATTTCTCTCTTTAAAGGTTTACACTACCAGTCCAAAGAGCTGATGCAATGTTGGACAGGATACAACAAGATCGACAACTAGGCGTATTTTAATTCCCCTGGAAACATCTATTGCCATCTAACAGCTAGTTGCCTAAATACAAACAGTTTACTACTCAACCCCATATTATATGGATTTATTCGCTTTTGAAGTAAACTCGGATTTATTTGGTTTTGCACGCGAAAATTTACGAGGATATGTTCGTTTTTGCTCGGTAATGTGTAGCTTATATTATTATGTATTTTAATAAAGTGAGTCGATATTCGCAGCTAACTCAATTTTCATAAAATGTGGATTTATTCGGTTTTGTTCCAAAGCTCCTCAATTGAAGATCGAGCTATCGAAAACTTTTCTGAATTGACAACCCTTAAGCAAAATTTTAGGTTGCACATCTATCGCCTATCTGAAGTCCATGATATTTATGGCATAGCATTCAACCCTAAAACAATAGACTTCCAACTATAATTTTCGTCGCACTCTGAATGATTTCCCAATCGCATTCGTAACAAAGGCAGTCGGTTGGAAAGCTTTTTTTTAAAACATTGACAATGACGCCGGACCTTCGTTTTCAGCCCCATCACATTCAATACCAGCGTCCATGAATTTATAGATTGGATGAGGCTTGCCTCACTGGCGGGTAGGGAGTTCTATCATTGCATACTTCTACGCCCTATCTTTATGAGCATTAACAAAAACACGAGAAACATTCTTTACGGGGTATGGATTTCGGCGAATGTTCACAAAAAAAAAAAGAATATGTTCCCTTTGTCACTCTTACCAAAAGTGATTTATCGAGCCTGAAAGGTGTATATTTTTTACGCAGAGAAATAAGAAATTGAGATGGGGTCTCCAGTGTAAGCATCATGTACAGATCATTTCATGGTTTTTGGCGGGTAAAAGTAAAACTACAGAAATTAACTTTCATGGATCCATCACACTTACACATATGTACATATCCAGTTGGTATTTATTCGCGGACGTTTGCGTAAGCTGACATACAATACATTTTCTTTGTTTTGTTTCACTGCCTTTAAAAATGTATACGTCAACATATGAGTCTTATGGTTGTCATTGTCAGTATGACAACCTGCTTGGCATGAGCATGCTAGTTACCTCTTTGCTGATCTTCAATATAAAACATAGCAATCCTTGAAGTTACAACCACAATTTTCACAGTGTTAGATTTATTATCGTTTGAAAGGTCTTCCGAAGTCCCTTATTTTGACGTTTGATTTTTTAAATTCAGTCGATTCGTGTTCGAGAAAACTAGAAAGATCTTTATTTATGTTAATTTGTTCTGATAGAAAACAAAAACGCACGAAAGTATAATTTTTTTTTTCAATAAGTGTTCAAAATGTTGCCCGTTTGCCAAATCTACAATTCGTTTATAACGGTAACTACCAAGATAAACAGCAATTCGGAGGATTAGACGTGGCAACAACCAAATTACAACCCGAATTTTTTTCCGCATTCTTTTCATCATTACAGATATCCTGGGCGAACTGTATTTATTGTTATACCTAGTTTAGTTACTAATCTCCATACATTTCATCCATTCAAAATGAAATTATTGCAAGAGTTAACCGAAGATGTTCCGATAGGAGAGTTGAGCTAACTGCAGCGATTAATGATCATACCATTCATGTAAAGAATATCTGCTTCAGTGATGAATGCACATTTTATCTAAATGGATTTGTTAATAAGCATAACTGAAGGAATTTGAGCAATGAAAATCATCATGCTTTTGTAGGAGAGCATACCCAGTACCCTCAAAAGATTAATGTACGGGCAGGCATTTTAGGAAACAAAGTGATTGGACCATTGTTCATTAATGGAAATTTGAATGGAGACATTTATTTGGATATGTTGAAAAATACCATCAATCCGCTTATTACTGAAACCATTGAAAACCAAATCGAAGATGATGGAAGCCCAATACTTGATGAGGCTGAAATGTATTTCCTAGTAAGACGGCGCTCTTCTTCACTATGTTCTTCGGGTTCGGCAATGGCTACACAAGTTTGCGGATAAATGGATAGGGCGAAGAGGGCATATAGCATGGCCTGCTAGATCTCCTGATTTAACGCCATTAGACTTTTTTCTATAGGACCATTTGTAATCTATTGTGTTTACTCCCCAACCTGAAAGTTTGGATGAACTTCGTCAACGCATCATCGACAGCTGCCATGATATCCCACAACATGTTTTTGAAAACGTCCGTCAGGAATTTGAACATCCCCTATATCATTGTTTGGCCAATAACGGGCAACATTTTGAACACTTATTGAAATAAAAAGAGACATTTTGTGTGTTTTTGTTTTCTATCTGAACAATTTTTTTTTATACTCCAACTACCACGAAGGCCTGAGGCCTAAACACCCATTGGGTACCGTGGGGCTATAGGAGGATACAGGGGAAAGGGGGAACGTCACACGGACTCTGGCGAGGGAACACGTGTGCATGCAACATAGACACATTCTGTTTTCAAATGAAAACGCTGTATATTTGTACAGTATACGATAGCTCGATGGGTACGACTATATGACGATTCACTTCCTTGTTTTCCTTACATGGATTATATCGAAAATACAAGACTGGATGATTAAGTAGTAAGTTTATACTCAAGTGTGCCTCAATTATCTCCTACCGTCAAAAAGATTAACACCGAAATACTTTCGTTAGCAAGTGCATGCATTGTGCATACTCTAAACACCTATACTTCGTCAATGTCTTATTTCTCTGCATCAAAAGTGTGCCTCGTTGAGGCTTGCTATGTCTTGGAGATGATCCTCTCGAGCTTTGTGCCCACTGATGCTTTTGATCAGCATGAAAAACACATTCCTTGGTTTTGGAGAAAATTCAGCAAAACCCATTTCCCGTAACGAATGTCCCTCTTCCTTTATAGTGACAGCTGGGGTTTATTCATATTCAACAAATTTAAATTATGACACAAGGACAAGGAACTTCAGAAATTTTCAGAAGATACCCAGAAAAACAGCATTTTTCCAAAATGCTTTTATCGGTTCCTGACGATATGAGACTTCAAAATAAATTACACATTAAACATTTCCACTCTTTCTCATTACAGTGTGTCATAATTAAAAATCAGATGACATTTCGTCGCTTGTATACAATCATCAACCTGATTTTTTCTTATGGATGTCATTAGAAGTTTGCGTATATGAACAGATCTTTTAATTATTATTTACTAATTTATGATTGAGGCATCAAGTTGCAAAACCAGCCTCATTCCACAAACTTGATTTCGAGATAATCAACAGAAACTGTTTTACCCAAAGTTACAAGCGGTATTTAAATACAAATAAGGCCATTGTGTGGAGTTGTGATTTTGCATCTATTTTGTCCAGAAATAATCGTATTTTTTTCATTTTCCAATGAGAAAACAAACAAAAAAATTGGATAAAGCTGGTTTTGTTGCAGTAGGATGCATATTGCGGATTTTGCTTCAGCAAGTGAAAAAAGAACAAGAAAAGCCTCCGTGTGTTATCACGAGACTTAAAACTGTGAGTGAAGGAACCAGTTTCCTCCAAATTTGAAAAACGTCACAAAATTCGAAAACCGTGCAACTTTTACTAGACACAATTTTCAATTTTTTGAATCGTTATGATGTCCTCTAACTGCAGGTTAAAGATTATCCACTCTTTACGCCACACCCTGTATAGGTATTAAGCAAAAGTAAAACTCCATATAGATGTATGACAGAAAAAAATCTAAATTCTTGAATCAGTTTCTTCTTCTTCTGCTTTTAGTGTAAGTGTAACCGTAATCACAATGAGAGTGTATCAACAGATAACACGGATTTTGCCGCAGTAGTACATATTTACATTAAATTTTGAATAGGATGGAGCCGCTTTTGATGCATTTTGTGGCTGTATTTTTGAAGATTCAAGGTCTACTGTTAATATTATTAACTATCTCAAGTTATACTAAGTGACATATAAATCCGAACACCCAGATTAAATGGTTTTATTTTAATAAAAGTTGGTGAATGTATTTATCTTACTGTAAATAACAAGTGAAAAAATTTTCAGCCTTATCAGTTGGACATTCCGGTTTTTATACTGCTTTTTTTTTAATTCACTAACGCTATAAAAATGAATATTTCAGCCGCAGTAAAGAATCAACGTTGGCGGATTTTGGTTCTTGACATCCTTTACGATCGGTTACGATGCCTAGAGTACGGAGACCTGTACGATTTCGTCAACTTAGTGAGTTTGATAGGGGTCGTATAGTGGGACTTCGGGAAGCTGGACTTTCTTTTCGGGCAATTACAGTTAGAGTGCAAAGAAGTGTAGACACTGTGGTTAGGTGTTGTCAGGCATGGCTTCGAGAAGGCCGTACGCAAAGAGCAATGGGCACTGGACGCCGCCATTTCAAATGAATGGTTTGCAGAACACGGAAGACCTATTGGCATGCGAAGTGTTTACCGACGAATGAGAAGTTTTGGCTTGTTTTCATACCGGCCACACTGGGTCCTCCCTTTACCTCGAGAACACCGACGTAATCGCCTTGAGTGATGCAGACAACGGTCACTCTGGGATCAGGAATGGAACAGTATTGTCTTTAGTGACGAGTCTCGATTTTGTTTAGGCATGCACGATGATCGTGCCAGGGTTAGAAGGCGACGTGGTGAAAGGAGGAATCCACAGTTTTTTGTTGAAAGACATGTTCATCACACTGTTGGAGTTATGGTCTGGGGTGCTATAGCTTATGGTTCCAGGTCACCTTTAATCTTCATCAGAGGTAACATGAACGCGCAGCGTTATATCCACGAAGTTCTAGAACCCCATCTTTTACCCTATCTTGCCACCCTGGCAGATCCAACTTTCCAACAAGATAATGCCCGACCACATGTTACAAGAGTCACAATAGACTTCTTTCAACATAATGATGTCACATTGTTACCATGGCCACCAAGATCTCCCGACTTATCCCCAATTGAGCACGTGTGGGATATGATGGGTAGGAGATTGCTCAATTTGCAACGTC